CTGCATCCACCTCCTGGGCGAGGCAGCAGGGCTGGAAACCGACTCCGCAAATTCCACTGCAGCCAGAGGGACAGAACCTGGAGGGACAGAGCCCTAGAACAGTCCACCCACTGTCGCTCCCTGACAAAAGGCGCCCCTACCTGCTCAAGAGTCCGCATGTGTCGCTGCCTGTTTGGCGCCAGACGCAAAGGACTGCACATAGACTGGGTGATCCTGACAGGTTCCGTTGCCCCCATTTTACGGATGAGGAAACTGAGACCCGCAGAGGTTCACCTGACTAGATGGGGCGGGATGTGGATGCGAGTCTCATCCCTGAGCCAGGGCTCATAGAAACCATCAGGTCTCACAAAGTCGGGACCGGGACGCAGCCAGAAAAGCGCGTTTCACCCTCGACCTGGCGCGAACGGACTAGCCCTCGCGTTCAGCCGCTCCCAGGGCGTCACCTGCAGGTTGGGGGACGTGGCGTGCACGAGGGGCCCCCCGGTCCCCTCCTGGATGGGAACCTCGAGAGCACGGGCGGCCCCACCTCCACCGCGGAGGGGACTGCTCCGCCGTTCGCAAGGTTGCTGACTAATTCTCTTTGCAAACGGTTCAGTTTCACATGCTTGAGTTTCCAGTAACTGCGTGGGTGGATTTGTTTCATTTAAGGGGAAAACAAAACAAAACAAAACATGGAGGGGGTTTTCTTTCCCAAGAAGAAGACTCACCAATTATGGGTTGAAGTGTGTGCGGCTCTGGGCACCGTGGTGCGGTCCCTGCGGCCAGCGGGCCCCTTGGCAGGCGGACGCCGAGGTGGAAATCGCTTAGTCATGAACGAGCAGGGAGCAGGTGCGGGAGGTCAGAGAGGTGCGGAGGCCCCGTGCTCTCCCCACTCAGCCCTGCAGACAGGGGAGTGGGAGGTGGAATAGGACTGGCGGGGGAGGGGACAGCCGGCCTCTCCCGCCCTGGGGCTCCCTGCACCTCCCTCCCAGGGGTCTGGCCTGGGAAGTGGACACTCCCCAGCTGGACCGGCCTCCTGCTTCAGGTGAGTGGGAGCTGGTGATGTGCCCAGGCGCGCTGGGGTGAGAGGGGTCCCCAGGGGACTGAGCAGGGGTGTGTACGGGTGTGGGCGGGTGTGGGTGTGCACGGGCTGGACCAGATAACATTAGCGTGCCGGTTTAGCGTGAGCCCTGGCCCAGCAGGGCAGACTTTCCTGTCGGCCTTGGGCAGGATCCCGGGGCCTCAGCTGTGCCGGGCGTGACTCTCCTTTAGCTGCCGGCTGGTGAGGAGGTGCAGGCTGTGTGGGCAAAGGGCTGACTGATGGAGGGGCACCTGGGGGGGGGGG